GATCTAGATGACCCAGGACTGCACAGATCATTAGGAGATACTGAGGCTTCATTCTAAACAACAGGATTTTAAGCAGGGAAGAGACAGCATCTTTGGGAGTGAGCTTTATTTCTTTTAGCTCCCCTAAATCACAGGTGGATGTACCACCATACTATACCCCACCCTAAATTAGATTTTAGAGATGTGGAAGGACGGTACCTTTTTTGACATAACATTATTTGTTGTGTTAACTAAAAGTTATAGGAAGTCTTTGTTTTGTTCTAAGCTCCTGCACTACACCCCAGTGGACCAGACTAAAAATCAAAGTGGAGTCATTTATGCTTCAAAGTTGCACCTCACCAAATCAAAACTACATTGTTATCTGACCTTCCTAGAACTCAGGAGAGAGAAATAAACTTTGATGCTTACAACAAAAAGTAGCCTTATGTTAACCAGTTATTCCTGTATTTTTCTGTTTCTCTGTTCATACTTTAGGAAGAAAGTAACTTTGAAATGACCAAGCTGCTTTTTGTTCTTTGTTTCTACTTTCTTCAGCTCTTCTCTGTTTATAAAACCAAACTTCTCTGCTGAGCCACCTGGGACATTTATTCTATTTTACAGAATAAAGTATTTCCCAGTTCTAGAATTGTTACTGGAAAGAGGCCCCAATCCAAAGCCCCAGAAAGGGTTCTTGGATCTCGCACAAGAAAGAATTCAGGGTAAGTCCATAAAGTGAGAGCAAATTTATTAGGAAAGTAAAGGCATAAAAGATACAGAACAGCATCAAGGGCTGCTGGTTGCCCATTTTTATGGTTATTTCTTGATGATATGCTAAACAACGATTGGATTACCAATGCCTCCCCTTTTTAGACTATATAGGGTAACTTCCTGACCTGACAGCTGGCATTTGTAAACTGTCATGGCACTGGTGGGAGTGTAGCATTAATGACAACCAGAGGTCACTCTCGTCACCATCTTGGTTTTGGTGGTTTTTAGCGAGCTTCTTTACTGCAACCTGTTTTATCAACAAAGTCTTTATGACCTGTATCTTATGCCAACCTCATGTCTCATCTGGTGATTTCAAATGCCTTAACCATCTGGGAATGCAGCCTAGTAAGTCTCAGCTTCATTTTACCCAGCCTCTAGACAAGATGGAGTTGCTTTTGTTCAAACTCCTCTGACAGAATCATAAATAAAGCCAATTAAGATCTTTCACAAAATTGTAATTTTGTCTTTTGACAGTTGCGATGACAAGAAATTTGAGGTTTTAGCATTCATAATGACAGTTTTCTTTTATCCTTCTTTCTGCCTTTCCTTTTTATCTATATTACCTACCCTACTGTGTCCTTAGAGGTTGCCATGTAGCCTAAGGTGACAACCAAATCTAGCAATATGTGATCTGCTTGTGGCAAAACCTTACTAATGTATACATAAGAGTCCCAACAGGGATAGCAAAAAATTAGGATTAGCTTTTTCTTTTCTGTGCTCCTTTTAATAGCACAGATCAGTGATTTATGTAAATTATTTATCTTTCATCTTTGCAAAATTTCATCTTACTACCTTAGGTATAAAGATTTTATTTTTATAGAAATGTTGTTTTGATTGACTATCAGGATTCGTATCACTTTAATATCTCCCTTCCATAGACACCACATTTCTACATTTCTGATCATCTTTATGGAGTACTCTGCCGAAAAGATTCTATTATTTTAAAACCAGTGACCTACAGTCTGTCAGAATTTGCTCATGCCAGTATCAAAAACATTTCATTTTCAGAAATTGAAAGCTTTTGCCATGTGTTTACAAATGAAAGTTTCTTAATATAGCTTTATCTCAAACAGTTACAAAGACCTTTGTTTTAAAGCAAGTATTTTATGCTATAAATAACCTAATCCATTTTAAAAATTAGTAAACAAACCAACCTCATTTTTTTGAGACAGAGTCTTACTGTGTCTCCCAGGCTGGAGTGCAGTGTGGCATGATCTCTGCTCACTGCAACCTCCGCCTCCCAGGTTCAAGTGATTGTCCTGCCTCAGCCTCCTGATTAGCTGGGATTACAGGCCCGTGCCATGACACCTGGCTAGTTTTTTATATTTTTGGGAGAGACAGGGTTTCACCATTTTGGCGAGGTTGGTCCCAAACTCTTGACCTCAAGTGATCTGGACCTCCTGAAGTGCTGGGATTATAGACATGAGCTACCTACTGCACCTAGCCACAGACCAATCTTTTAATTTTGGGTTTTTTGTTTTTTTTGTTTTTTGAGAAAAAGTCTCACTCTGTCACCCAGGCTGGAGTGCAGTGGCATAAACACGGCTCACTGCAGTTTTCACCTCCTGGGTTCAAGTGATCCTCCCACCTCAGCCTCCCAAGTAGCTGGGACCACAAGCTCATACCGTCATGCCCGGCTAATTGTTTTTTTTGTGTGTGTGTGTGTTTTTTTAAGAGAAATGAGGTCTCACCATCTTGCTCAAGCTGAATTTTTACAAAGAAAATATAAAGAGGAAACATTGCTACAGGCATACCTCGGAGATATTGTAGGTTGGGTTTCTGACCACTGCAATAAGGCAAATATTGCAGTAAAGCAAGTCACACAAATTTTTTGGTTTCCCAGTGCATATATTACTAAAAGTTATATTTACATTATAGTCCACTAAGTATGCAATAGCATTATATCTAAAAAAAATACATATTTTAATTAAAAATACTTTATTATTTAAAAATGTTAATGGTTATCTGAGCCTTCAATGTGTCAATTTTTTGTAGTGGAGAGTCTTGCCTCAGTGTTAATGGTTGCTGACTGCTTGGAGTGGTGGTTGCTGAAGGTTGAGGTAACTGAGGCAATCTCTTAAAATAAGACAACAATGAAGTTTGCTGCATTGGTTGACTCTTCCTTTCACAAAAGATTTTCTATACTATTTAATGCTGTTTGATAGCATTTTACCCACAGTGGAACATCTTTCAGAATTGGAGTCAATCTTCTCAGACCCTGCCACTGCTTGTCAGCTAAGCTTATAGAATATTCTAAATCCTTTGTTGTCATTTCAACAGTGTTCACAGCATCCTCACCAGTAGTGGATTCCATATCAAGAAACTACTCTCTTTATTTATCCATAAAAAGCAACTCCTCATAACTTCATGCCTTATCATGAGATTGCAAAAATCGAGTCACATCTTCAGACTCCACTTCTAATTCTAGGTCTCTTGCTATTTTCACTAAATCTGCAGTCACTTCCTCTACTAAAGGCTTGAACCCCTCAGAGTCATCCGTGAGGACTGGAATCAACTTCTTCCAAATTCCAATTAGTGTTGATATTTTGACTTTCTCCCATAAATCATGAATGTTCTTCTTAGCATTTAGAAAGGTGAAACCTTTCCAGAAGATTTTCAACTTACTTTGCCCAGATCCATCAGAAGCAGCATAAATGGTAGCTATGGCTTTAAGAAATGTGTTTCTGAAATAGTAAGACTTGAAAGTCAAAATGACTCCTTGATCCATGTGTATAGAACGGATATGTTAACAGGCATGAAAACAACATCAGTCTCCTTGTGTTATCTCCATCAGCACTCTTGGGTAACCAGGTGTGTTGTCAATGAGCAGTAATATTTTGAAATAAATCTTTTTTTCTGAGCAATAGGTCTCAACTGTGGGCTTAAAATATTCCGTAAATCATGCTCTAAACAGATGTGCTGTCACGTAGGCTTTATTCTTCCATTTCTAGAGCACAGGCAGAGCAGAATTAGTGTAATCCTTAAGGGCCAGAGGATTATTGGAATGGAAAATGAGCACTGGCTTCAGTATCAAGTCACCAGCTGCATTCGCCCCTAACAAGAAAGTTAGCCTGTTCTTTGAAGGCTTAAAACCAGGCACTGACTTCTCTAGCTATGAAACTCCTAGATGTCATCTTCCTCCCATGTAAGGCTATTTTGTCTACATTTAAAATCTATTGTTTAGCATAGCCACCTTCATCAGTTATCTTAACTAGATATTTGGATAACTTGCTGCAGATTCTGCATCAGTACTTGCTGCTTTACCTTGCAGCAAATGTGGATTATGTTTTGGAGATGGCTTCTTTTCTTGAACTTCAAAAACCAACCTCTGCTATCTTCAAGCATTTTTTTCTGCAGCTTCCTTACCTCTCTCAGCCCTCATAGAATTGAAGAGCGTTAGGGTCTTACTCTGGATTAGGTTTTGATTTAAGGGAATGTTGTGGCTGGTTTGATCTTCTAGCCAGACCACTAAAACTTTCTCCATATCAACAATAAGGCTGTTTTACATTCTTATTTATGTGTTCACTGGAGTAGCACTTTTAATTTCCTTCAATAACATTTTCTTTGCATTCATAACTTTGCTGTTTGGCACAAGAAACCTAACTTTTGGCCTATCTCCGCTTTCAACATGCTTTCCTCACCAACCTTAATTTTTATTTCTGTCTTTTGTTTTAAAAAGAAAGACACGTGACTCTTCCTTTTACCTGAACACTTAGTCGTCGGAGGGTTAATAACTGGCCTAATTTCAATGTTGTTCTGTCTCAGAATAGGGAGACCCAACAAGAGGGAGAGAGATGGTGGGGCAGTCAGAACATATATTTATAGATTAAATTCGTCTTATACAGGTGCAGTCTGTGGCACCCCAAAACAATTACAATAGTAACATCAAAGATAACTGATCACAAGTCACCATCAGATATAATAAAAATGAAAACTTTTGAAATATTGTGAGAATTACCAAAATGTGACAGATGGAAAGTGACCACATGCTGTTGGAAAAATGGGCTTGCTTGACACAGGATTGCCATAAACCTTCCATTTGTAAAAAACGCAATATTTGTGAAGCATAATAAAGTGAAGTATAATAAAAGGAAATATGTCTGTGTTTTATTATTTTACTTCTCTGATTTTTTTTGTTTGTCTGTTTGTTTTTTAGAGATAGAGTCTTGCTCTGTTACCCAGGCTAGAGTGCCATGACAAATCATAGCTCACTGTGGCCTTGATCCTCCTGAGATCAAGTGATCTTCCTGCCTTAACCTCCAGAGTAGCTGGTACTACAGGTACGTGCCACCACACTCAGCTAATTCTCTTATATTTTTTGTAGAGACAATGCCTCTCTTTGTTTCCCAGGCTAGTCTTGAACTCCTGGGCTGAAGTGATCCTCCCACCTCAGTCTCCCAGAATGCTGAGATTACAGGCATGAGCCACCACACCTGGCCTTCTTGATGTGTTTTATACAAGAATATTAAAACACTTTGAGTTATCCTTTGACATGTAACATTTTGCTTTTTCTGTTTTTTCTCAAGATGCATAAAATGAGCACATTGAAATCTAATAAAGCAATATTTCAGCTAAAAAAGAACCATTTCCACCAATTTAGTTCTTTAAAGGTTTCATGTAAGTTCAATTACCAATTGAATATACCTTATCTGAAATTTCTGGGTCCAGAAGTGTTGTGAATTTTGGATTTTGGAATATTTGCATATAATTAATGAGATATCTTAGGAATGGGACCCAAGTCTAAACATAAATTTTGTCTGTTTCATGTACATCTTATATACGTAACCTGAAGGTAATTTTATACAATACTCTTTTTTTTTTTTTTTTTTTTGAGGCAGAGTTTTGTTCTTGTTGCTGAGACTGGAGTGCTGTGGTGTGATCTTGGCTCACTGCAACCTCTGCCTCCCAGTTTCAAGCAATTCTGCCTCAGCCTCCCAAGTAGCTGGTATTACAGGTGCCCACCACCGTGCCTGGCTAATTTTTGTATTTTTAGTAGACATGGGGGTTTCACCATGTTGACCAGGCTGGTCTCGAACTCCTAACCTCAGGTGATCCGCCTGCCTCAGCCTGCCACAGTGCTGCGATTACAGGCATGAGCCGCTGCACCTGGCCACAATACTTTTAATAATTTCGTGCATGAAACAAAGTTTGTTTTAAGTACTTAGGTGTGGAATTTTGATTTGTGCCATCATGGCAGCACTCAAAAAATTTCAGATTCTGAGTTTTGGACTTTCAGATTGAAGATGTTCAACCTGTAATTTCCTTCATATTGATGGTAGGCACAAGTTTTGTATCTTTTTGTAAAGGTATGAAACAAGTTAAATGATATCTTTTCTGAATTTCTGGGATGGAGCATTTATTAAGAAACAGGATATAAGAATTTGCTTAAGCCAAATCAGATGTTCTTCCTATTAATATTTTAAGCAGAAAAAAATTAATTATCTAATACATTAGTACCACCTTTACTTTGAAAGTGAAACAAATGACATCTGTTACCTTAGCCACGGAGGTTAAGTGGTTTTCCTAAGAAATGAATATGCACTACAATGAACAATTTGCCAGTCATCTCAATGGCTATTTTGTTTTGCAGGCCACAGTGTGAACACATGAATAGAAGAAGAAAATTTCTTCTTGCCTCAGTACTTGCTCTCCAGAATTCAAGTTTTATATATCCATCATGTCAGAAGTGCTTGTCTAGGATAATCGTAGTCTCCAAAAGGTAAAAATAAAGTCTGTAAATGAAAGAGGAAATATAAGTACACATTGTAGATTTCCTGTGGCTCAAGGGCAGTGACCAAATTTACCAAACCAGGACATTAGATTCTCTCATGGGTTGGTTCATCTGTAAATCCCAGAACAGATTTCACTGCTAATCCTCTATGATTAGAGAGAAGTTTTAAATTACTGTCAAGTCCTTTGATAAATACCTGGCTCAAGGAAGAAAAATAACTTATCAGAGAGTAAGTCCCAATATTGGTACAAAATGTAGTTCATTTCTGGAATATCCCTGGGAATAATATAGGAGGCTTTTGTTTATTGTTTGTTTATTTTCACATGATCCACAGAATAGTTTTTAGTATAAATAAATAAACTCCTTGAGACCAGGGACTGTGTTATAGTAATATCTATCCTTTAGCAACTAGAAATGTGTTTGACATATAATTATTTATTATCATGCTCAGATGCAAGCCAACTATATCTGAGAGCCTAAAATCTTCCTCTGATCTTTATAGAGTAGAAGTGAGAGGTTAGATTTGAAGTTTCTCCAGAACACTGTCTCTCTGCATGGAAGAGAAGATAAGAATACCTAGTAAGCAGCTAGAAGTATTTAGGAAAGAGTAGTGTGCCAGCAATATTCCTAACTAGTTTTTTTGTCTAGTTAGCATTGAATGAGGAGGCAGAAAGGGATTGGCAGTTCTAACTGACATCTAGACTCTAAGTAATCCTTGAAGTAGTTATTACACTGTTCCTTTATTAAGTCACTCTCAAGTTCTCATTTATAAGCTCTAAGAGAAAGACCATGTTTATGTTAGTCATCATTAAATCCTTGACATCCTTCCTAGGGCTTGGTTCATAGAAAATATTCAACAAATGTTCATTAAATGAATGAATAAGTGATGGTATTATAGTGTTTAGATTGTCTTAGGCTCACACATTTTCACTTTTCTGCCTGTCATTTGAAACAACTAAAACCAATGGGCTGTTTGCCTTTCATCAGGATCTATACTTAGAAGTAGTGTGGCATAGTGTCCTTACTTAATGTTGTCGGATTCTTAGACACCCCAACTTTAAGCAGAATGTTGTATAATTAAACCAGTTTTTTTCTCATCAACATTATAATGACATTATTTGAGAACCTGCTATAAGTAGTTTTGCTTTAAGTCACAGTATCCAAGAACTTATCACTGACATTAAGTGAGGATTTACTGTAATGGAACAATTTCAAGCTCCAGAGAACACAGCAGAGTTGCATGTAGGCTCTGGTAATCATTAACTATGTGACTTAGGGCAAGATATTTAACTTCTGTGAGTCTAATTACTCATTTGTAAAATGGGATAATGGTACCCACAATATGGGATAATTGTAAAGTTAGAGGTAATGCACCAAAATGTTCTAATACATAACATATATTTGGATTTCCAAAATGGTAGCTATTATTATTATAGTCTATTATAAGTATACTTTACCTTATTACAGTATATTATGATTAAAAGCATCATTCTCTGGAACAGATTGCCTGGTTTAAATCACAACCCTGCTTGTTATAGCTGTGTGGCCTCAGGCAAGTTATTGTTATTATCTGAGCCTCAAAATGGCTCAGAAAGTGGTATCTACCTCATAGGGTTCTTGTAAGGATTAAATGGATTAATATACATAACATGCCTAGAACATTGTCTGATACATTATCAATAATATATAGGTATAAAATATTTTTTAAACTCTTCGGTCATTTATTTTAAAGATAATCTGCAACAAAAATTTAGGTTGAACAATAATGCCATTTTTACTTACTTAGACTGGTATTATCAATAGATAACATTAGTGAGTGTTTACTGTACAGTAGGCACTGTGCTAGGAGCTTTTTGGACATTATATCTTTTAATACAACAGTCCTATGAAGTGAATGCTATTGTTAATGCCAACCTTTAAAGGAGACAACTGAAGCTTACCAAAAATCATCACACAGCCAGCTAGTTAGGGGCAGGAACATATTCAAGCCTAAACAATCTGAATTCTGTTTACCTTCATAATCACCATATTACTTCCAAAATAGCAGTGAAATGTGTATTCAGAATGACACCTTCCCCTCTTTTTCTTAGAGCTTAAAATGCCCTGGGAAAGGACTTGTGACTGGATGCTTTCAGAATATAAAACCCATGGTATATAGTCCTTGCCTGTGGAAACATAGTCTATGGGAATATAACCTGTTTTCTGCATATATTACTGAGGGAATGTGTTTAGGGTTTTCGAGGCAAACAATCATATCATCAACTCACAGTGACAGTTTGACTTCCTCTTTATCAATTTAGATGCCCTTTCTTTCTTTCCCTTGTCTGATGGCATTGGCTAGGACTTCTAGTACTATGTTGAAGAGAAGTGGTGAGAGTGGGCATCCTTATCTTGTCCCAGTTCTCAGAGGGAATGCTTTCAACTTTTCCCCACTCAGTGTTATGTTGGCTGTGGGCTTGTCATAGATGGCTGTTATTACATTGAGGTTTGTCCCTTGTATGCCAATTTTGCTGAGAGTTTTAATCATAAAGGGATGCTGGATTTTGTCAAATGCTTTTTCTGCATCTACTGAGATGATTATGTGATTTTTGTTTTTAAAATTCTGTTTATGTGGTATATCATCACATTTACTGACTTGTATATATTAAACTGCCCCTGCATCTCTGGTATGAAACCACTTAATCATAGTAGATTATCTTTTTGATATGTTGTTGGATTAATTTATGTAGTATTTTGTTAAGGATTTTAGTGTCTATGTTTATTACAGATATAAGGCTGCAGTTTTCTTTTTTGGTTATGTTGTTTCCTGATTTTGGTATTAGAGTGATGCTGGTTTCATGGAATGAATTAGGGAGGGTTCTCTCTTTCTCTTATCTTGTGTAATAGTGTTGAAAGGATTGGTACCGATTCTTCTTTGAATGTCTGTGGAATTCTGCTATGAATCCATCTGGTCCTGGACTTTTTTGTTATTGGTGGTAATTTTTTAATTGCCATTTCAATCGTGCTGCTTGTTGTTGATCTGTTCAAAGTATCCAGTTCTCCCTGATTTAAGCTAGGAGGGTTGTATTTTTCCAGGAATTTATCCATCTCTTCTAGGTTTTCTAGTTTGTGTAAAAGTGTTCATAGTGGCTTTGAATGATCTTTTGTATCTCAGTGGTTGAGATACAAGTTGTAATATCTTCCATTTTGTTTCTTTATGAGGTTATTGGATTTTCTCTCTTCTTTTCTTGATTAATCTTGCTAATAGTGTATCAATTGTATCTTTTCAAAGAGCCAAGTTTTTGTTTTCATTTATCTTTTGCATTTTTTTGTTGTTTGTTGGTTTCAATTCCATTTAGTGCTGCTTTGATCTTGGTTATTTCCTTTCTTCTGCTGGGTTTGGGTTTGGTTTGTTCTTGTTCTACTAGTTCCTCGAGGTGTGACCTTAGAATGTCAAGTTTGTGCTCTTTCAGTCTTTTTGATGTAGGTATTTAGGGCTGTGATTTTTCCTCTTAGCACTACCCTTGCTGTATCCCAGAGGTTCTGATAGGCTGTGTCATTATCATTCAGTTCGAAGAATTTTTAAATTTCCGTCTTGATTTCATTTTTGACCCAATGATCATTCAGGAGCATATTATTTAATTTCCATGTATTTGCATGTTTTTGAAGGCTCCTTTTGGAGTTGACTTCCAGTTTTATTTCACTGTGGTCTGAGAAAATGCTTGATGTAATTTTAGTTTTCTTGAATTTATTGAGGCTCATTTTGTGTTCTTCCATATGGTCTATCTTGGAGAAAGTTCCATGCACTGTTGATTAGAATGTGTATCTGCAGTTGTTGGGTGAAATTTCTGGTATATATGTTAAGTTCATTTGTTCCAAGGCGTAGTTTAAATCCATTTTTTCTTTGTTGATTTTCTGTTGTGATGACCTGTCTAGTGCTGTCAGTGTAGTACTGAAGTCCCCCACTATTGTGTTGCTGTCTGTCTCATTTCTTAGGTCTATTAGTAATTGTTTTATAAATTTGGGAGCCCAGTGTTACGCGCATATATGTTTAGGATTGTGATATTTTCCTGTCGGACAAGGCTTTTTATCATTATATAATGTCCTTTGTCTCTTTTAACTGCTGTTACTTTAAAGTTTGTTTTGTCTGATGTAAGAATAGCTACCCCTGCTTGCTTTGGGTGTCCATTTGCGTGAAACACCTTTTCCCACTCCTTTACTTTACTTTAAGATTATGTGAGTCCTTATGTGTTAGGTGAGTCTCCTGAAAGGCACCAGATAGTTGGTTGGTGAGTTCTTATCCGTTCTCTTGTTCTGTATCTTTTAAGTGGAGCATCTGTGCCATTTACATTCAATGTTAGTATTGAGATTTGAGGTACTATTGCATTCATGGTGCTATTTGTTGCCTGTATACCTTGGATTTTTTGGTTTGTTTTGTTTTTGCTTTTTAAATTGTATTTTTGATTTATAGGTCCTGTGTGATTTATGCCTTAAAGAGATTCTGTTTTTGATGTGTTATCAGGATTTGTTTCAAGATTTAGAACTCCTTTTAGTGTTTTGTTTGTTTGTTTTTTTATGGAGTTTCGCTCTTTCGCCCAGGCTGGGGTGAAGTGGTGCAGTATCGGCTCACTGCAACCTCCACCCCTGGGATCAAGGGATTCTCCTGCCTTAGCCTCCTGAGTAGCTGGGATTACAGGTGCCTGCTACCACATCCAGCTAATTTTTGTATTTTTAGTAGAGATGGGGTTTCACCATGTTGGCCAGGCTGATCTCGAACTCCTGACCTCAGGTGATCCACTTGCCTCAGCCTCCCAAAGTGCTAGTATTACAGGTGTGAGCCACTGTACCTGGCCTAGCAGTTATTATATTGGTGGCTTGGTAGTGGCAAATTCTCTTAGCATTTGTCTGTCTGAAAAAAACTATCTTTCCTCTTATATGATGCTTAGTTTCACTGGATACAAATTTCTTGGCTGATAATTGTTTTTTTGAGGAGGCTGAAGATAGGGCCC